CGAGTCTCAAATTAACTTGACATAGATGTTTTACATATATTTTAGGCTAAATGTGAAGTATTCCCTCATGCCCATGAGGCATTCGGAAAGTTGATAAGTTGTGCTTTCAAGGACACACTAAATGAGGTTGTTAAAATTCAACACTTTGCATATTCTGATGGAGAAAAATGCTTGTCCCTGACAACAAAGGACACAGGGCAATTTAAGTAAGCTTCCCAACTTCCTAATCCATGGCCACTGAATTCCCTGTGCCAGTATTTCTTAAGACTAAAACATGAAAATGTTACCAGGGAGGAAGAAAAGTGTAGGAGCCCCGGATCCTGTCCAAATGTAAAAATCCATAACCATCTGTTGTTTGTGTTACATGGATTTCGCAACTGTCATCTCCACTGTGCTCGCCATTTCATCTTCACAGCAATATCACCAAAACACCCACTGAGATAAGATCACAAATATTTTGAACATACCATATGATATGTTATTTTCCAAATTAATATTTGACAAAGTCAAAATGAGAACTTGTCTATAGATTGCTTTTGTGTTGTCACCTGAAAAAACCTTTAAGGGTTTGCTACTGTTTGGAAATACTTAATTTCAAACTTGAATAACTTAAGAAATACAGAAGAAGAGAGAGGAAGCTATTAAATGTTGCATTTTTTAAGTTTTGAAAAAAGCAATGGCCACTACTTACACTTATACAGCATCTTTCTTCAAAAGGGTTTCAAAGTTGCTTTTAAAATTATTTACACAGAAATATCATCTAGAATTTAAATGGACCTTTCCTTTTTGAACTTCAGACCAGCAAGTCCATCCTACATTTTACAGCTGAATATGGCTTGAAGGATTTATGAGCGCCCAAGCTAATCTCTTTAACAATGTCACATCCAAAAATTTATTTTGGAAACAAACAAAAGAAAACAACAACCAACCAACAACAAATACAAACAAAACAAAGAGTCAAAACCCCCAAACTGAAATTATGCTTGGAAAAATGACATTAAAAGAGTTAAAGACAAATGAATAAACCAAGTGTTTTTTCCCTAAGGAAATCTAAAACTCAAGGTCAGCTGTGCCTGAAATCACCAGACCTGTCACATGGATTTCCTAGGTGCCACTGAGGCTCCTATCAAACCTGCACTGAAAGCAATGAAAACATTTTCACTGGAAACAGATTGAGCTTCGATAAAGAGCTCTCTGATCACCTTTGGCTGTTAACGCTGTGCAAAGTAAGAGGTGAACTTTTGAAAAAGAGAACAAACTGAGAGAACTTGAGGTCAAATATATTTGAATTTTTTCTCAAATTCCTTGCATGTGTTTGAGCATAAATATGGCTCTATGAGTATATGAATACATATATAGTTTACCTATATAAGAATATACACATATACAAACATTTTATACACATATGTGTTCATACGCATACAGAAACAAAGGTTGTCCTGTGAGCATAAAGCAACTAATTCCATTTTATCCCATTTTCTGTCCTCCAGTAACAGAAGTTTGGTGGTCTCAGTCACAGCCCCTTGGGTGTAGGAGCCCATCACAAAACCATCACCTTTAATTTAATACAGTTGACAACCTCTGCTCAAGAGAGGCAGAAGAAGGAGTTGCCATGGAGACTGAACTACGGCTTTTCTCCAGAGGATGCTTTTTTCAAGCAGGAGTTGAACAGTAGAGACTGCAATACCTGTAACCTTGATCACATCACAGGATCTTGCTTTCTGGGATGGCCGTATAGCAAACTCTAACAAACATTCAGGAGATGGAGGGAGAGGTGGAGGGGGAAGACAGAAGAGCGCTTGAAAAAACAAACAAACCCCCAAAAAACTAACAAAAAACAGTATGAAAGTGCATATTATACCAGATTGAGAGGGACAAAGAGTTTCATATTGATTTATCAGATTTGTCACCTCTGCTTAGTGCTTTCCTAACGGGGTGAACACTGTGCTTGACCTATTTGCTGGAATTAACCAGGACTTCAGGAGACCATATTGATTGCCAGATGGTCTGCTATAATTTAATGCCATTTATTCTAAGTATGAAGTAAGTGATAAACATAATTAACATTCTTTTAGCTCCTTCCTGAATGCCTTTTATTAGTTTCTTTCTTTCTTTTTTTTTTTCTTCTCAGGCATTGAAAGGTAAGTTAATACCTTGTTACTGAAACACAGGTGCCAGCTAATTACTGCAAGAGGCTGCAGCCTCCAAAGCAAAGCGTCTCTGCACAGACTCTAACTTATTCACTGACCCAACTGAGATGATTAATAGGTTGAATGCTAAGTTCTAATGAGGATGACAGATCTTAGATGTTTTCATGTTACCTTAATTAGTAGTATGATGAACAGACTGTTCATCACAAACGTACATATCACACTTCATAGTAAACAATACACCTTGTAATCACGGTCTGAATGTGTATTTCACTTTACAGCACATCAAATGCTAAGGAATAAGACCACCTTCAGATACTAGAAACAATGGAGTGATTTCCTTCAGAACTGTTTTTCCTGATTGCTATTTCATACTCTGCCAGTGATTGTCTAAATGGCCTATTTTTTAGGAAGTGATTCTAGAGAAGCTATGGCTTCAAAGAGTGTTTATAGGAGGCCAGGTTGTCATTCTTAGAATTTTAAAACCATAAGTCTGTTTCAAGATATCTAAACAACTTTGCCCACTGCTCCTCTGCTGATAATCTTCATAGTGATCAGGGTAAGTGTTACCAGAATAAAGAGTAAATTGTTTTGTAATTTTTAATGTCAATGTACAGGTGAAGTTAGTACGCTAATACTCAGAACTGAACAGAAGTATTAGACAAGAGGCAAAAGGACTGAAGCTTTGTATTTTACATGAAAAGAGGTGCACATTGAACCTCGCAGATAAAAATGACCACAGCTAAATTTCCCGTGATTTGCATTTGTGCTGTTAATAAAACTTGAGTGAACTTTAAGGTGACAGAAATAGCATAAATTAAATGTTATTTTGAGATTATGACAAAAGAACAGCACTTGTACTATAAAGCAAATCTGCCCTTAGAAAATTTAGCTCTGATTAGAAAACATGGTGAAAAAGAGTCCAAGTCAAAAGCCACAGCATGGAAAAAGTAGAAACAAACTCCAGCTTTTCAATATCTGTTACCTTCCCTTTGTTCCAGATGGGTCCAGAATTTGTTAAGGGACCTCCACAGTTACACGTGTACACTCCACAGGGAACATGCTGATGCATCCCTACACTAGGGAGGACCTGAATGTGATGGGACTTGCTCTTTTACCCCACTCTTGCTTGCATTAGTTCGTTACCTCTTCAGCTGGTGAACTTTGTTGAATCACTTGGTTATTGTTGCTAGTCCTATAAAATCCTTTATGATTCTTTACTAGTATATGAATAATTTATGATTCTCTACCAATATATGCATAAAATGGGGATCAAAATATCAGAACAGCAAGCCTTCGTTGATATTGACACCACTTGTCAAGGTGTCTTTATAAGGTCTCTGTCAGCATTTTAAAAAAAAAGATCCATTTTTCCATCCCCTTAACTGAAAAATACTTACCTGAGGTGCTTAAGCTAATGCTATGCTGGCTGCAGGTTAATTTTTATAGTCAGAGGAGGAAAATATAATTAGAGAGAACAACTCAGAGAGCCTGAATTCTTCTCTGTAGGCACCTACCTCTCTTCCCTGACTACTGCAGTAGCTTGGATCATTCTGGTGTCAAAACTTAGGTGGGTTGAAATCAGAGACAAAAAATTACCACACTAAAAACAAGACTTCATGCTTCCTTCAATAATTGTTTACTGGACCTTATAATAGGTACTTTAATATTACACAGTCACTACATTATTATTCAATAGTACTTTACTATTACACAGATACCACTTCTGAAAAATATTGGAGTGATTCTCATCAGTGATTAAAGATGTTGCATCTCAATGTGCTATTGGCACAATGATTTTGGTTACTCTGCATACACATTTCTACATATGTACATACACACACACATATATACAGAAGTATGCACTTAGTTGCTCCATCATTGCAAACAATCTGAGATGTTCTAAGTGGTTACTTCACAACATCCAAAGAAAGGGCAATGCCAGAGGTACTGCCTGAAATAACCTCTTATTTGGACCTCTGGACTGCTGGAAAAATTGTTTTGCCTGCGTAGCAGCCAGCTCCCACCAATATTTAAAAAAAAAATTATCTGAAAGAATGAAGAAATCCAGTACAATTTAAAAGTTACTCTTTGAGGTTGATAGACTCAAAACCTGCCAAAGGAGGTTTGACACTTAGTACTTAAACATGGCTTTAAAATTCTTTTTCATCTGCCTTGTTCTTTACTTCCTTGCTCACAAGAAAGAAGGTATCAGAGAATTTATGTTCACTGTTCATTTCAGTCCCAAGAACAAGATTGTCTGTATTTCATCTGTCATAGAGATGGCATGTACGAAACACAGCTCTTGGCCTAAACGGAAAATAGGATTTTATTTTAGGACAAATAGGGACAAGGTATAAAACCCCTGTCTACAGAGGAATGCCTGTGCCTGACTAATGAATCCTAACTGTCATAATAACTTTCTGTGTTTAAGCTCCATCATCTGATCTACTGAAAGACCTCACAAAGGCAGTAGAAACCAACAAATCTAGCCCCACTACCAGGAGAAGCTACTTGGGGATTGCTTTTTTGGAACATGTGACTCTCAGAAACTGCAAATTTGGGACAAAACTGCAAAACAGAATTTGGTAGAGGAAAAAACAAAAGGCCCTAAGGGGTAAACAGAAAATAAGAGAACACAGAATGTTTTAAAAGAGAAAGTAAATAGTGCTTTAATGTTGATGTGGCTACTAGTACTCTCTGATAAAACCTGATACAAAAAGAAGTGGGCATTTTCGTAAATACTTTAAGCAACAATGATAAAATCAGACTGTAAATAACTTTAAATGCTTTAAGACCAGAGATAAAATCCACAAACTGTAGTATTTGCAAATTTCGGAAATGTCTTACCTCCTGCATACATGACAGCCAACATAATCGATGATATCCAAGCTATCTCACTATATGATGTGTTGAAGATTTCTTGTATTTCTTTGAAGAATACTGTGATGGCTTTGGGGAATGCATAGGAAAATCCAATGGAGATAAAAGCCCCAAAGACCACAACCCATCCCCAACCTCCATCTGGAGGTGGGTACTGTGGTGCTCCTGTTGCTGGTGGCATTTTTGGTTTCTGTCTTTTCTCCAATTAGGCTGAAATAGAAAAGAAAAAAACCAAGGTTTCAAACAGTTCTGGGTTTTTTCTTTATCAAACTGCAGTATTCAGTCATCATCTCCAGGGATTATAAAGAATCTTCAGAGCAGACACAAATTTCCAGCTTTCATGGGACCATGGAATGTGAGTATCAGGAATGGTGTTGTCAGCAGCAACAGAGAGGTGATCATACCCCGTACTCAGCTTTGGTGAGGCCTCACCTTGAGTACTGTGTTCAGTTTTGGGCCCCTCACTACAAGAGGGACACTGAGGTGCTGGAGAGGTGGCTGCCAAGCTGGTAAATAATTTTGGAGCATGTGTTGTATGAAAAACGACTGAGGGATCTGGGGCTGTTTAGCCTGGAGAAGAGGAGATTGAAGGGAGACCTTATCCCTCTCTACAACTACCTGAAAGGAGGTTGCAGAGAGGCAGAAGTTGGTCTGTTTTCCCTAGTGGCGAGCAACAGGACAAGGGGAAATGGCCTTAAGTTTTACCAGGGGAGGTTCAGGTTGGGTATTAGGAAGAATTTCTTTACTGAAAGGATTGTCAGCCATTGGAACAGGCTGCCCAGGGAGGTGGTTGAGTCATCATCCCTGGAGGTGTTTAAGAGATAGGTGGATGTTGTGCCAAGGGACATGGTTTAGTTGTGTTAACAGGGCTAGGACAAAGGTTGGACTCGATGATCTTGAAGGTCTTTTCCAACAGAAACTGTTCTATGATTTTATGATTTTATAATTCTATATGTTTTTAGAAGTAGAACCTGTTCTGCCAAAATACTTGTGGCAGGAATATTTATGTATGCAACATCCTATTCAGTATGTGGCAACTCTAAGAAATCACTGCCCTCAGTAACTGAAGTGGTATTTGCAATTACTTACTGGAAAGTGACGTGGTTTTGTGTGTTAGTTCACGTAGCTCTGCTATCTACAGTTTGGATTTAGCACAGGAATGAAACAGCAGAAAAACCCTGGAAGTCGAGCTTATAGGAAACAACGGAAAGAAGTTACAGTAAATTATCACTAAATGCCATTGTGTTAGCAAGATTTAATGGTACCTCAGCAAAATCATCAGCAATGACAGCAAGGAAGAAATGCATTACACAGTTTTTTATCATACGCTGTCATTATCCAGTTTTTGATCATTGTGGAATCTTTTGATTATCTCATGTGAACATCTATAAAGCAAGTTCTAAGCAGAGATTTAAAATTCCCTGTGTAACCATAAAACAAAACTACTACAATTCCATATTGTACTCTTACTTTTAAAATTTTCATCTTCATATTAGTTGATGTTGATATTACTTGCAGGAACAAGGTGGAGCTTGATGGTATTATTTTTGCTATGTTTCCATGTCATTAGATATCAGGAAGTCTTTCATTAATAAACTCAAAAACTTTCCACACCTATTGTCTAATTTAGAATTTACCATAATAGATGCCACCAGAGTGATATCTTATAGAGGTACTGAGAAAAGCAACCAACACATTCAGGCTGCTCAAGAAATCATAGTTAATCCACATAAAACTCCCTAAATCCTGAAATAAATTTCACGCTGTTATTATTATCATTCTGATAACTAAAAATTTAAGCTTTCTACATTCTGCATAGCCTTTTTAGAAAACATGTAGTAGCAAAAACCCATTTTGTAATTATGAGATTTTTTCCTGTTATTGGATCTCTTTATTATTAAACACAGAGCTGGAGTCCACCATGTTTTCTTCTGTGTAATCCAGCCTACACAGACAGCATGAACGGAAAATTCCTCCTTCCTCCCTGTTTCTTTCTTGGGCATTTAGGCAACTTATCACTCTTGATTGGTCTCCTGCCATATCAGTATTGAAAGCTGCAGATGATAACAGTGTGTAGGTTGCTGTTATGCTTATGATTACCAGCAAGTCTCTGTGATTCCTTCTGTGCTGTAAGTATGACATATTCCAATTTCTCACAGTAAACTGCATTAGCAGTGGGAGTGATACGATTACCTTAACAGAAACTAAAAAACTAACTGTGTCAGCTTATATTAATCTCTTGGGATAGTGCCTGGAGTACTTTCAGGGTAAATGCCATGTAGCACTCTGTGCAATATACGCCACAAAACTAGAAAAGTGTTTCTTTCCAGATTATCTATCACCAGGCTAGACTTGTCATAGAAACGCACTTTCCGCTTTACTGAAGCTGATTTTCAGCATCACCCTGATATAGACAGACCTCCAGGGGAAAGCTAAATCAACCACTAAAACATCTGGCCTCTATGCAAGGTTGCAAAAGCCCAGGTAGGTTGGCTATACTGCCAAATATCATACAGATTTGCTGATGGTGTCAATAGGTATGTACTGCTTTGTACACAAATTGTATACATCTTTTAATACACAGGTCCAGAAAGAACCTTTGTTTCTGCTTATCCTAGTCACAGCTTAATATTACTCCACTAACATACAGCAGTGAGGAAAATCCATGCCTGCCATTAGAAGTTGGACAAGTAGAGATAATTCAGGTTGCTTTTGGCAAAGCATTTAAATACCACTTTGTTTTCGCTGAATCAGGACCCTTTAGAAAGAAGAGTGAAAATAAATTGCTTTCACAAAACCTCAAATTGGCATGAAAAGCAGAACTCTATTTCTCTGAATTGAGTGGCAGCAAACAACAGAGTTTGCTATCTGTCGCAGAAAGCTGTTGTTCTGGTCATCTGAGAAAATTTTTGGTTATTTCCTAAAAAAAGGTTAACTATTGTTTTCTTAGACTTCAAAGGTTTGAGCATATTTGCTTTCATATGTCATATTGATATGACAACAGTTCTATCTCCATTATACATTTTAGTAATGCCTCACAACATCAAGGTATTGCTCTCCATAAAAATGTAAAGGGATTATCAATTCATTGAGGAAGCACTCCTCTTCCCAAAAATAATACACAACCACTTTGAAAAATCACTGCCACCAGATCAGTTAGAAGAATGCTGAAGCTTCCTGAATGTCACTGTGGCATCAGCACTCTGGAAAGATCCCACTGTATCCCCTCCTTTTTGGCAGCAGAATAGGCTCTGACAGTTCAGTGCTTCCCTCCCTTCAAAAGCTTCACAGTAAACTAAGAGGGGCTTTAAGGAGACGAGTTGCTTTTATGCCTAGAAGAAAACTGGTGCAAAGCCCAGGGCATGGCCAGCTTGTAGCTGGCTGCTGCAGTAAAAGGCTGGCTGCTGACCTGCACTAGACACTATGCTGGCACAAAGAAGAGCCTGGATCATTGTAGCTCACACCTCCTGTTTATCCCACAGAGTTAAGAATAGCTTCCCTGATGTTCCTTTATGATCGTGACAGCCAATTTTAGCTCTAGTTAATAAAAAGTGAAAAGAAAAAAATAAATAAATACATGTTTGCACCCAGAGTAAAAAAGTATTAGCTTCGTCAGAAACTTTAAATCCAACATTTCAAAACATCCCATACCTGGTCAGTGGCTATAGCAACTTTCTCCTGTAAAATCTGCACTTAATATCTCTGAAACGGAACTCATCCTGAAGCAGTCTAGTACTTTACTACATATAGCTCTAATCTAAGCCTAATTAGTAAGATTTGGGTAGTATCAGAAGTATACGGACTAGTGCAAAATCCATTAGCAACCAAAACAAAACAGCATTTTAGATAAGTAGATATAAATGTTGGTGAAGAGCCATAGGCGGGAGGAATGAAGCAGTAACAAACCAAATGCTTTTCAGAGCTCTCAGAGCTTATTACGAGCTGAGAAGATCAAAATGGAATGTGGTAGAAAGCATAAAAACAGGCATGTGAAGGACATGGTACCAGAAAAAAAAAAACAAAAACACCATAATGAAACAACACAGCACTTGAGTGAATGAAGGTCACCACCAGTGTTTCAGTCAGTCATAAGAATTCCATCACGTGCTTAAAGCTAGCAAACAAGCTCTGCTCATACCTATGCTTTTATAGGCAGGCAGTGAGGGAGGAACACTGCCTGCCCTCTGCCAAGGGAAGCAGCAGAACAGTGACTGAGTGAAGTCCTGAGCGAAAACATCAATCTCTCTCCTCCCTGTCAGACACAGAGCGGTTACTCAGCCTTTCCATACCTTGAGTCAGACTGTGCACAAGGATTTTCTCCTAAGCTCCTTCTAGTTTCTCTGTATAAATCCCATTTATGTATGCAGTGAACAAGAACATAGCTTGTAGTAAAAGCTGTACACGTCTACTAACAAAAACAGGATAGACGCAGGGCAAGAGGATATTTTTAAAACATCCGATATGCAACATTTTTTATTATATAGGTCTCATCATGCTTGAACTTAACTAGGCAAATAAGAACTAGTGAATAAAAGAGAAGGAGAGGGAAGAAGAAAGGAACGATGGGAAAAGAAGAAAAATGGGGGGGAAGAGAGAGAGAAAACAGCAAGCAAGCAACAAGGTCAAAGAGCACATGCTACTGACAAATATTGTATTTTGATATCATGCACTGCAGACTTCAGTCAGTCATGATCAACCTGTTCAGACTGTTCTTGTACCAATGCTTCATTAATATTCTGCACTTGCCAGCTGCCAGAATCAGCTGTCAATACAATAGCTTGTCAAAGACTCTTCTCAGAAAGGGTTATATTGTTCTCTTGTTTACAGAGACTTTGATTTTACTGGGAGATTTAGTTTTGTTTTTCTTGCAACATTAGAGTAACTGTTTGCTTTTCTCCTTACATTCTGTCTGCCTTGTCCTCGACGTGCCCCATCACCACCTGACTCAGCAGCCATTTGTCCCAGAGTAAAAGAGCTACTATGTGAAAAAAAAACCCCATCCCCTGTTGCTGTAGGACAGTAGGAATACTTGGCACGAGTGTCAATATACACATTTCAGTTCCATACAATAAGCCAAGGACTGCAAAAGCCTTTGCAAACTCATTCTTATACCATCCCTGTCAGATGACTGGAAAGCATCATTCATTTTCAGACACAGGAAAAAAAGTGGTAACAGGCTAA